GGAGCCCGGGACAATTCAGAGCGTGAATTACCTACCCCGCTTTCGCTTCCAGGCAAAACCAAGCCATACCATGCGCCTCCTCGTCAAGCGGCCTGACCAGTACAGGCTGCAATTTGGCATCGTTTGGTATCTCTTGGAAGCGAGGGTGGTCAAAAGCGAGGTAGGTTTGTTTTCCCCCTAACAATCCAGGGACGGCCCGAGTGAGCTCGCAGAATTGGGGTGGAGAGGTGCCGAACGTGACGGCGTGTTTCTCATGTCTCCTCTTGCTAATGATCATTGTCATTCGCATCACTGTGCATCAACATCATCATGGTCAGGGTCAGCAGGAGCATCATCGTCAACATGCTCATTCTCATCATGCTTGTCGTTATCACCGTCGTCGGCATATAGGCTTCGTTGTCGTCATCGCCATTCGACCAGCCGGAACCCAGATGGCTCTGTTGGCGTGGCGGTAGTATTTGCCGCAAGACATCTGGACACTCGCGAAATGGAATTCGTGCAAACACGAACGTAAGCATGCGAACACTCAGGAACTGGCACTTCGACGCAACAGTGCGTGCGTCCTTACGCGGTGGAAGCACTTCGGCGATACACAAACAGGTCTAACCTGGTCGGCGCAGCACACGAAGGATGAGTAGGAAAAGGCACGAAACGGGCGGGACATGTTTTCCATTATAAGATTCCTCGTGATGATGAGCAGATGCTTATGGAGAGTCCCAACAACGTTGTAAGCGTAGGTTGAACGCTTCCTTTCCTCATCCACCCCCTACTTTTCCTTGGGGGAGGGGTTGACTCTGCTCCGTATTGCTTTATTGAAAGACACCCCCTCTCCCACCAGATTGGGGGCACAGTCTACATAATGATACCCCCTGCCCACCATGTCAGTCGAAAACAATAGAATCAAAGTGCACTTTGCGGCAAGCTCTTGCACCTTGTGCGAGATCCCCGTGGTCACGTCTCGTCGTGCTCCTTCTCTTCGTCGTCCTCCACGTCCTCTTCCTCCTGGTCCTCGTCCTCCTTGACCTGGTCGTCGTCCTCGTCGTCGTCGTTCTCGTCATCCTCCCCAGCGATTGAGTGATTTCGATTGAATGAGATTGATTGAGTGAGATCGATTGAGTGACGTCGATTGAGTGAGATTGCCAGAGTGAGATCTATCGATTGAGCGACATCGATGGAGTGAGAAAGATAGTTAGATCCATTGTGTGAACGAATATGAGAACGATCGTGAGATCGACAGCGAGATCCATAGTGCGATCGGTAGGGAGATCGATAATGCCATCGATAGTGAAATCGGTTTCGCTATCGATAATGGGATCGATAGTGAGATCGATTGAGTGAGATCGTCTGAGTGAGATCGATTGATTGAGATCGGTAATGGCTTCGGGTGAGTGAGATGAATTGAGTGAGATGGGTTGAGTGACGTCGATTGCGTGAGCCCGATTGAGTGAGATCGAACAGGGAAACCCGCAGCGGGGAACGTGGAACTTTTTTGTTTTGCCATATCTACATATATATGTACATAACTAGATACATATAGATATATCGGAAACTATCGATTGAGTGATGTCGACGGAATGAGATCGATTGAGTGACGTCGATTGAGTGAGATCGCCTGGGTGAGATCGATTGAGCGACAACGATGGAATGAGAAAGAGATTGTGATCCCTTGTGCGAGAATGAGTTCGATCGTGAGATCGACAGTGAGTTCCGTAGTGCGATCGTGGTGAGATCGACAGTGAGATCGATTGAGTGAGATCGATTGAGCGAGATCGATCATGAGCTCGCTTGCGTGAGATCAATTGAGTGAAATCGATTGTGTGATATCGATTGCGTGAGATCGACTGATTAAGATCGAATCGGGGACCCCGCAACTGGGAACGTGGAGCTGGGAACCCGGGAGCCAAGAACCCGGAATCGGGAACCCGGGAAACCCGCGATCGGGATTGCGGAACCGGGAGCTTTGGGACCAAGAACCCGGAACCGGGAATCGAAGAACCCGGAACCAGGAGCCCAAGACCGCGGCGGCCTACCGAAATCGGCCGCCCTCTCCTAAGTTTGCTGGTCGTTATCCTCATGCTTTCTGCGCGTCCTTAGCCGGCGCTGTGGCTCGAGAGATTCAGGGGGCAGATTGTCCCGCAGTTGCGAGAACCGCCCTCGGTTCGCCCTTGGAGCCGTCGCGGGTGCGGACCCGGAGGCAAGAGCTTCGCCGCGTGCGTCGTCAGTCGCCTCGCATGGACGTCGACGCAGACAAGCCCGTTGTCGGCGATCTCGGCGCGGACGGCAGTGACGCGGCCCAAAGAGGCACCGCGTGCATCGCCGAACACGGGGCGCTCTTCGGGCATGCTCGCGCGGAGCAGGCCCTCCAAACAGTCGCAGAGGGAGAAGCGCGCTCGCCGCCGAGAGACCGCCGGGCGCCTGGCCGAGCCGCAGCGCGCGGTGCCCGCCAGGCAACTGCCAAGGTTGGCCACCGTGACCGCGCCGACCATCAACGCGCACAAGGCGAGGCTGGCTTTGTTCGAGCAATTGGTGCTGGAGACGAGCCGGCTGCTGGACGCGAACACCGTGGGCGGGTTCATGGGCGACTATTTCGCGGAGAAGTTCCTGGCTGGCGAAGGCCGCGCCTTGGCGGTACCTGAGGAGTGCGTGGATCTTGCTGAACACCAGCGGCTCGGAGAAGTGTAATCTGCTTCCATAGAGCCGCAAGGCTTTTAGCCGGCTGGGAGAAGCGAGCTCCAGGTCATGTTCGGGATGGGCTTCCAGAAGCGGCACTGGGGGTTCTAGTGAACTGGATGCCCAACAACGAGCGGAAGGAGTCGGCCTACGCGGTGGTGGTGAAGGTCGATGGGTATCTGAGGCCGTTGGAGGCGCTCAACCTCATCGAGATCAACGTCGCGACGCCATGGCCGCGCGCGGGGCAGCTTCACTGAGGCGAATGGAGCACCGTGCTGGGCGACTCCGAGCAGGAGCGGACCACAAAGACGGGCCTCAAGGACGCGGGCGCCAGAGCTGGCGTGGGCAATCGGCGTCGGGTGAGGGATCACCCCGAGCGCCTTTACGATCGAGCTCTTCAGCCGCGCGACCGTTTGTTGCGCGTCTCCTTTGCGCTGCGCGAAAAGGATTTCAGGCGGGGTTTCCAGGAGCTCGGGCTCAGCGCGCTCACGGGGTGCCCGCATGCGGTCCGCCATAGTGGGCCCTCGGAGGATAGGTTGCGTAATCGCTTAACGTCGCAGGAGGTACAGCACGGGGGTCAGTGGAATAATCGTTCTTCGGTTGCGCGGCATGAGAGGCACAGTCGTATACTGCGGCAGTTGTCCGATATGGTCAATATCCAGCAAAGCACGGGCACCCAGGCGTGGTCGCAGATGTCGAGCTTGCTGCGCTTCGCCTGGACATCATGATTTATGTACATATATATATACATATGCGTGTATCTAAACATCTATATGTATACATATGTGTGTCTTCGTGCACGGTTGCGCCAGTGTCCACTCATGGTGATAATTATGGTGATGTCGAACCGTCCGTTTCGATGTGCATCGCTAGGCATCTGTTACGCTTCTACACGCTCCCGCTGCGCGAAGTCCTCGAACGTTTTCCGATGGGGGGCGCCAGAAAAGTGAAAAGCGAATGCCGTGGGGACTGAGAGATAGCCCGAGTTGAATCTTACAATCATTTATGGTGCTGGGTAAGAGTGAGGAGTGCTGATCTTAGCTCGCTGTTGCACCGTTGTGATACGACGTGGAAGCACCGTCGTCTGTAGTTTCTGGCTCCCACGAACCCACCCTTGCCCAATGGCACACCTCCGTTGGTTGTCCTCGCCTGTCCCTGCTCTGTGCTCTCAGCTTACAAACAAGGTGATTTCGAACCGTTTGTTTCGATGTACATCGGATGGCATGTGTTACGCTGTTACGCGCTCCCGCCGTGCAAAACCTTGGAACGCTCTTTGTTGAGGAGCACCCGGAAAAATGAAAATCAAATGCCGTGGGGCCTGAGAGACAGTTCGAGTTGAATGCAATCAGATATGTTGCTGGGTAAGAGTGAGGAGCGAATCATGTTTATGCTGTGCTCTGTTGTTCTGCGCCGCCCGCCCGAGACTTCAACGCCCTCCCGAGGCAAAGAGGGCGGAGCATGCGGGTGGGTGCGGCCCAGGTGTGGGGGGGGGGCCTTTACTAGAACACGGGGGCTCTGCCATGGCGCTCCCAAAGCGCTCCCACGGCGCTCCGCTCCCAGGGCGCTTGCGGGCTGGTGCGGCCCACGGGGGGGCGTTCCTGACTAGAACACGGCTCCCAGGGCGCTCCCAGGGCGTTCCGAGCACGCTCCCTGGGCGCCCCCAGGGCGCTTCCAGGGCACCCCTTGCGGCGCTCCGACGTCGCTTAAAACACGGAAGCCCTGCCAGACAGCCATCCGCGCCTCAACGCGCACACGGTACACAGTGGCGGATCGTCGGAGGCCGCCGGGCGCCGCCCGCCTCCCGGGCGGGACTTTCTGGCACGCGGCGCCACTGCCGGCCACCCGCTCAGATCCGACAGATGTGCACGCCGAGCGGCACGGAGGAGGACACGCACGAGGAGGAGGAGGACGAGGAGGAGGAGGAGGAGGAGGAGGAGGAGGAGGAGGAGGAGGAGGAGGAGGAGGAGGAGGAGGAGGAGGAGGAGGAGGAGGAGGAGGAGGAGGAGGAGGAGGGGAGGAGGAGGAGGAGGAGGAGGAGGAGGAGGAGCGAGGAGGAGCGAGGGAGCGAGCGAGGAGGAGGGGAGCGAGGAGGAGGACGAGAAGGAGGACGAGGAGGAGGACGAGGAGGAGGACGAGGAGGAGGAGGACGAGGAGGAGGACGAGGAGCAGCGAGGAGGAGGACGAGGAGAAACGAGGAGGCGCGTGCGAGGAGGAGGTGGCGAGGAGGCGATGGCCACCTGTCGCGGGCCTGGGCCTCCAAGGCCTCAGCGCCCTCTGGCTCTGCGCCGCCGGCCGCGGCCTGCGCGGGCCCGGCGCCGCTGGCGAGGCGGGCCCCGCGACGCCGCGGCCGGAGCGGCGGCCGTCGGGCTGCGGCGGCGCGCTGGGGCGCTCACCGGGCTCGCCGGGCGGCAGGGGCAGGCCGTGGGTCGGGAACCTCATCCTCGTCCTCCTCCGCGTCTTCCTCCTCTTCATCCCCCTCTTTCCCCCTCCAACTTTCGGGGGCGGAGAAGAGGGGGGTGATGACTAGGGGGGGGGTGGATATCATGGCGGGGGCCATGATATATGCCCAGATTTCATGGCGCCTCTTCTGATTTCGTTACGTCCCTGGCCCCCCCGCTGGGCCGCGCACGTGCCGCCGGTCATGATTTGCACGCCCCCCTCTTGGACACCCCCCTCTTGGCCGCCCCGAAACTTATGGTGGTGGTGGTGGTGGTGGTGGTGGTGGTGGAAAACAGGCCCATCATGGGCCGTCCGATCGGGAGCCTAGAGACGGGGGTCAAGGCAAACGTGGGTCAGCCAGAGTGCCGGATCTTGCAGGATCCTGCAGGGCCAGGGTCGCAGTGACGGGGTCAGCAGCAGTGGCCGGGGCTTGGGTGCAGGATCCTGCAGGCTCTTGCAGGATTTTCGCGTTGACCCAGGTTTGGGCGCATGATCTTGCAGGATTCTGCAAGACCTGACTTCCGGGTCTGGATTGACCCGGGTCAGCAGGTCTCCGAGTGGGGCGCGGTCGAAAGTCGAGCCGTTGGTCAAGTAGTGGCGAAGCGTCTTGGCTCGCCTATAGGCCTACCAAAGAATGTTCCAATAACTTTGCCTGGTTTGCAAAACATGTTCTTACAACAGGACTGTCTTGTTTTGACACATCGGGTCTATCTTCTAAGAACATTGATTTTGTTTTTCGATCATTTCTGGGTTCTAAGACCATTTCGTGGTAGGCCCATAGAAATGCCAGGACGGTCGGTCCCTGCTCAACGAAAGTAAAGCCGTTGGACGAGTCAGCGATCAAAGGTATCAGCGACCAGCGAGTTTCGTGCCTTCCACTGGTGGATGGATCGACGACCAACGGTTCACCGATCTCAACGAATCAACGATCAACGGTGGTAACGATCAACGGTATCAACGATTCAGCGATTAACTTTCAACGAAATTCGACCATTTAACGATTTAAGCATCAACGACCAACGATTCAACGATCAACGATTCAACGATCAACGGTATCAACGATTCAATCATCAACAACCTGGGTTTTGGAGCAGGGACAGAGGAGGGGCCAATCAGCTCTGGGCCGTAAAGAAATCACGACGGAAGTCTTCTCCCCTGGGAGGCGGCGCGAGAGCGCGAAGTTATTCGCACTTCGCGCTTCGCGTAGCGGGAAGCGCAAAGTTGGGAGCCCTTGGAACGGATGGGGTCGGAGGATCGCGCCGCATCTGCGATGCAGCCGCATCGGCGAGGCGGGCCGATTTGGAGCCCGAGCCGTCCTCGAGCCCGGCGTCGCCGGTGCACCGCTGGTACCGCCGCATCGAGGGTGCATCGGCGCAGCGGCGCGATCCGCCGACCCCATTCGGGCGGCCTCCTGGGGCCGTGAAGAGAGGGGCGAAGGCCAAGCAGCTCGCAGTGGCGGAAGAGGCGGGGTCCTGAGGGAAATTGGTCCCAGAGTTGTTTCGCCGTCTTCGGGCAAGCGTTCAGTCGGGCCTGTTCATCTGCAGGAGGAATGTTCAAACATAGTCAGAAAATAGCCTGGGGGCGGTTGTTGGTTTTCTCGATATTTTTTGGCTACGTTAGATTCGTCGCCCAAAGTCCCCCTGTAGGGGGACAGGCCCGACCTGGGGCAGGCGGGTGCACGGCAGGACGAAGCGCTGGTCCTGGGGAGAGGCCCCCCCGGTCCAGGACCTGGCTCTGGCGCGCTCGGAGCGGGGGCGGGGAGCCTGCAGAGCTCTGAGGGCTGGACCCAAGCGGTGTTTTCGGTGAGTTCGTGGGCCGTTTTCGCTTCGATTTCGTTTTGCGGCAGAGGCGGATTCGAGGCAAAAGCGAGGGAAAACGAAGACAAAACGAAAACGAAAGACACCGTTTAGGCTCAGCCCTGGAGCTATGGCAGATCGAAGCAATCGAGACGGCTGATTGCTTCTCCACTTTTCGGCGACTACTCCAAATCCCTTATTTCGGGGGTGGACAGAACCCCCAACAGCGACACGTCGATTAGTGAATTGTCCGTCTTCGGTTCTCGAGATGGCGCCGTGGCCGTTATTTTCCAGGCTTGCGCCCGCCAGGTTTGGGCCTCAGGTCGTTTTCACTAAACCACGTTTTACTAAAAGGGGGTCTTCCATCCCCGATTATTTATCGCCCCCACCTAAAAAAAAACCCGGACCCGCCTCCAAATGCGACCTATGTATTCCGGACCCCCCTCTTCGACGGGGAGTCTTACTAAACCGGACCCCCGATAGGGGGTCCGGTTTATTAAGGCTTATAAGCTCCAATCCAGAGAAGTGTCCTAATCAACCGAGGCCCCCCAGTTGAAAAAAAGGTGCTTAAAAAAACCGGACCCGGGGACGATTAAAAAAAGGGAGTTGGAGTACAAAGGGTATGGTTATGCGGGGGTGTGGTTTGCGATCGGCACCGTCGGGGCTTGTTGGGCAAGACGCTGTCCTCGTCGGGGCTCCTCGGGGCGCGGCAGAGAGCTCTGTCCAGATCCTCGCCTGCCCCCCAGGGTGCCCCTCAGGGAGCCAGTTGCAAAATCGCACCCTTGGCAAACCCCACCTTTCGGAGTCGCCGAACTTTGGCCGCCCCGGGACCGTCAAGCAGCGACACAGCTTGAAAAGTTTGTCATGGGGAAGGTTCCAGAGGTGTGGGGGCACATGGTTCGAACGAATCGCGCCCCCAGATGTCTGGAAGAAGGCGAGCGACAGCAAGTATTGTCCATTTTGTGGCGGGCGCGGATCATTTGCAGCATCATGTTCGGGATTGTAGCGATGGAGCCCTGATGGATGGGGCCCTAAGTAAGGAGAGGCATCCCAGGCTGAACCTCGGCTTTTCGAGGCTACTCGTCCTTTCTGCGGGGTGTGCCCTGTCGGCGGTGCCCAGGTGGAGTATCGCCACCCACCTGGACACCCAGAAAAACCTCCCAGATGGGCTCCCCCCGCCGCGGTGCGTTCAGCTACTTGACGAGGCGTCCTTTCCCCGAGAGTTGGACGGCTTTCCTCGCATCGATCTGCAAAGATTTGGCCATGTAAGTCGCGGGACAGTCAATACGCTGAACTATGGATCGCTCCGGGGTGAGGAGTCATCTGTTTGAGGCCACGCCTTTTTTTCTACGGGGTGTGCCATGTCGCTGGTCCCCAGGTGGCGGAATGTTGCCCTCCACCTGAGCGCCCAGACAGATTTCCCAGATGGCCCCCCCCCCACCGCGGTGCGATCGGCCAGGTGACGAGGCGTGAGTTCTTGAGACTGTGGTGGCTGTTTTCCAATCGCCTTGCCAGAATCAGGCCAGGTATATCGAGATTGCCAGAGAACAAATATCAGGAGGGGAAGAAATACACAGACACAATTAATCGTCGACTCCCAGGAAAATATGGAAACACATGGGAAGTGGGGGGAATACAAAAACCCAGAACATGTGGGAAAATATTGGGAATCCTGTTATTTGTGTGTACTTATTTGTATGTCCTTGGGCCCCTTCAAAGTGTTGGCATAAACATCATCTGTCGGAGGTCCGCTGGACCCCCCGCCCTGGCGCGCGGAGCGCGCTGTAGGGGCGGCTCCGGAGGCGCTGCCAGGGGGATCTCTAGCGCCGACTCCACAAATCCGCGAGGGCCTCCGAAGACAAGCGTTTTCATGCCATCACTTGCTCCCCGCGCAAATTCAGATCAATCGGGGGGAAGTCTGGACAACGCTGGTCAACCACGCGCAGAGAGGGGTGGGAGGGCTTGATGGATGCACCCCTGCTTCTTAGATGGCGCGGGTCTTATCTATGGATGTAGAGCCAGCGCCTTTTAAGAAGCAGCCTCCTCCTAAGAAGAATTCCCCCCTCCCTCCACCCCCTTGTGCTGCGCGCCGCCAAGTATCGCCGATTTCAGGTTGATGTTCCCCCCCCCCCGAGACGGTCCCCCACCACCAGAAAGTTGCCCCTCAGGTTTGCTGTTGGGCACCGTGCCCGTTCTTCCGCACTGGACGCCCAGAAAGGGGCACGATGCCCAACAGGAAGTGCTGTCCGAAACCGATGGCGGCCGCTGTTGGACACGCGGGCCTCTGTCTCACATGGGCAACTTCCGCGGCGACACGGACCGCGAGTCCTGTTCAGAAAGATCAGGACATGTTGTCGGTTTTTGTATCCTTACGTCGGGCCTGCCCCTCTACAGCAGGAGTAATCAAAAATAGTCAACAAATAGTCTGGGGGCGATTTATTTATACATGACATTTTGGAATATGTTTGGCTATTGTTGGGGTATTTTTTATATCCGTAGGGGGACATGCCCGACCTAATTGTATCCATTATTTGCGTCCCCATTCCGATCGTACCTGGCGCGCACCCACCCCTGGCGCGCCACACAGGCTGTGCGCCAGCCCCGCCAGCGCGGCGGCCGTCGGGGCTGGGGCCGCTCCGCCACCCGCCCGCGGGGATCTAGAGGTCCTCCGCCCGGAGGCATGCGGCCCGAGGTCGGTTTTGCCGGAGCGTCTTCCGCGGCTCCAGAGGCTCCAGCAGGAGCTTGGCATCGCTCGGACGTCTGCATGTTTCCTTCGGCGAGGACCATCGAGGAGCATCCTTGATCATTTGGCGCAGAAAACCACGCACGAAACCGAACAAAAACACAGGGAATGGACGTCCGAGCGATGGCGAGGCCGGAGCGTCTTCCGCGGCTCCAGAGGCTCCACCAGGAGGAGGGTGACCGGCGGCATAGATCTCAGGGAGCAGGAGGAGGCGGCGGAGGAGGAGGAGGGGAAGGAGGTGCAGGCTGATTGGCGGCGACGGGGAGCCCAGACCTCCGCTTGGGTGTTGGATGTTTTGGGGGTGTCCTCGTCGTTCTCCTGGCGGCTTTCTAGCCTCGGGATATGCGTCCAGGAACAGCTGCGCCTCGCCGAGAGCCTTCCGGAGGTGCCCTCCTCGCCCCCCGCAGGGCCGCCCCAGAGCCGAGCCTCCCCGCAGCGCGCAAGGCC